CAGCTTATCACGACCACGTAGATGGCAAAACAGTGGGGAAGCACGACCTGGTCGTCAGGTTTCTTAGGGGGGCGAGACGATTAAATCCTCCTCGACCCCCCTCCATACCCTCTTGGGATCTTCCCCTGGTGCTTCGAGCACTTCAGGATGTTCCCTTTGAGCCTCTGCAGTCAGTAGACTTAAAGCTTCTTTCCATGAAGACTTTGCTACTGGTTGCACTGGCCTCTGTCAAGAGGGTAGGAGACCTGCACGCATTTTCGGTCGACGAATCGTGCCTAGAGTTCGGGCCGGGTGACAACCATGTGGTATTAAGACCCCGGCCTGGCTATGTGCCCAAGGTTCCTACCACTCCCTTCAAAAACCAGGTAGTGAACCTGCAAGCGCTGCCTTTGGAGGAGGCAGACCCAGCCCTGGCTGTGCTCTGTCCCGTTCGCGCTCTGCGTATGTACGTGGACAGAACTCAAAGCATCAGGACCTCAGACCAGCTCTTTGTCTGTTATGGAGGCCAGCAGAGGGGAAAGGCTGTCTCCAAGCAGAGGATGGCCCACTGGATAGTGGATGCCATCGCCTTGGCTTACCAAGCTCAAGGCGTGCCCTGCCCGCTCAGGTTGCATGCACACTCCACGAGAGGCGTTGCATCCTCCTGGGCGCTGGCACGTGGCTCCTCGCTAACAGATATCTGTAGAGCTGCGGGCTGGGCGACACCTAACACGTTCGCTAGACATTATAGCCTACGTGTAGAGCCGGTCTCCTCCCGTGTTCTCACCCTAAACGGGTAGAAGCACCGAGAGGCCCGGCTCTGTCGGCTTGCTGCACCCTACTGTGCACCCTTATTGCTCCAGAGTGAAAAACCTGTCGAGTCCTCCAAAAACCCCTCGGCCCGGACATGGCGGAGCGTCCGGTGCCAGGCCTTTATCCGCTGAATCCTTGAGAACCGGATCTGGGCTGGGTTCCATATGTGTGACCCTACGGGGATCCCATATGTGTATATTTTCCACGGCTGCTCCTAACGGAAGCCCGTGTCTTTCCCTTGGGCTAAGTCACCCACTATCTCATATGTAGTACAGCCTTCGGGCTAGTCCATATGTATTCCCCACATAACTCCTTGAAGTAAGTGGCTTCCGCAGCGTCCTCCTTCCTAACTGAAGGGCACGCTTTCCCAGTGTTATCCAATAATCTCACTGTATGGGTTATTACGGAACAACAGTGACAGATACACTCTGTGTGTAGCCTCCTCCTATCGTCCTTCTAGGCAAGAAGGTGTAGAGGCTTGCATGGGGCGCTGGATGGGGTGCAGCAGCTGTGGCGCTTTGGTAGGGATTCCTATTGGTCAGTCTGACCTACGTTGTAGTGACTGACCGATAGGGAACGTCTCGGTTACATATGGTAACCCTCGTTCCCTGAGGGAGGGAACGGAGACGTAGGTCCCGTCGCCACATCTGCTGCCGCCCGCTGGGGCGGCCAGCTTTTTCAGGTTTGGCTCCTCAGCAAAAAACTAGTGTGCAATCATAACAGCTGCTGTTAAATACCCGCGCTGACGAGGACGCGCAGCTGATGCAAATGATTGCATGCCAATGTGCATTGTCTTGTTTTAGTTTCACTCGAAGTAGATTGGCCTCTCTAGCGAGATTCCTATTGGTCAGTCTGACCTACGTCTCCGTTCCCTCCCTCAGGGAACGAGGGTTACCATATGTAACCGAGACGTTTCTCCATAATGTCTAATTTCTCCGTCATTTCTTGTGTGCATTTATTATGCGTTTATTATTTTTTGCACCCCGCGGCTGCAGTAGAACTGTACCGTCATTTTTTACGGCATCGCCGCGTCAAATTGAAAAAAGAAAACACAGTGTGAGAGAGGTTACTAGACGCTAGCTAATTGAACATTAAAGGACGGAAAAATACAAACATAAAAGTGGGGCCTTAAAGAGAAAAAAGAAGGTGGAGAAGTTAGTTGCGACACAAAAACTACTTAAAATAGACCGGTTTAGTTCTCTTTCTTACCATCCCTACTGTTGCTTCAGAGGAGCCCTCATTTTCAAAACTGAAGCTAATAAACAGACTATCGGGACTGGCAATTATTTTCATCGAGAATGCACAAAGCCATGAATTAAACACTAATGACATCGTGCTCGTGGATGAATTTGCCGAAAGAAAGGCCCGAAGAATGCAACTAAATGAGTAAGTAGTTTTATGTTTTTTACATTTTGGGCCGCGGTGCCAAGATCAGTAGTTTATTATTGACATTGGCTGAGCCTTGGTTGGTTTTAGACTTGTTTTTGTTCCGGTCTGGTTGTGAAAAGTTGTTGGGTAGAGTGTTTTTTATGGTATTGTTTGGTATGGTATTTTCTTGATACACTACAGTGAACGTCTAACATGAATCTCAATGTACTTCGGGGGCAGGGTTAGGGGGGCCCGTACAAATTTTTTTTGCATATGGGCCCGGGACTGACTTGCTACGCCACTGCCTGTAGGCTAAGATTAAATGAATAGAAAACAATCTTTCACTTGTGTCATCCATACAGCAACAGAGTGTGACAGATGCCTGGAGCACAGGTCTGGCAGTGTCTGCAGTGACAGCTGTGCATCAAGGTCACATCAAATGATGCCGGTGCTTCATATTTCAGAGAAATGGAACTTTAGTCCCATAAAACTTAACACATTAAGGTTCGTTATTTCTATGCATTTCTAAATTGTGATACTGTGATCAAATTACTGCTTCTAATTATTTCACAGTTTAATACAGTGGGGGTGAAAAGTCTTTAAAGTCATGCCCAGTGTCCATATTTCTTCTTTTTTTAATCAATCATTATTTTTGCCTACTACATTAGCCTACTATTTATACCTTTATGTCTGTCTATGGGTTTTGCAAATATTCAACAAATGAAAAGTTTTAAAAAGAGCTTGTAACTGAACCTCAAACTGTCAGTAAAACCTCATAACTCCACCCGCCTCTTGTGAATGAAGTAAATGAATATTTGTTTTATTTATTTGAGGAGCGGAGCATTTGCGTTCAAGTCATAGCCAATACTGTTGTATCACGTCATCTTCATGAGATTAGAGATTTTGACCAAAAAAACAAAAAAAACGCACTCACAATAAACTGTAGCCTATAACCTTTAAATTGATGAAAACTTAATGTGATTCACTTACTGCCTCAGTTGCGGCGGTTCTAATGATGTAAAAAAACACGTAGCCTATGTCCGACATTGTATGCTCAAATACCTCGTAACTCGTAACAAACTTGCTTGATTTTCGTAAAATGTTATAATACAATGACACATGCAAGGGATTCATATATCAATTTAACCTCTTCCACTCTAAGATGCCATCTAAAATGCTCACAAAATATAAATATACCCCGCAAATCTTCACTATCTCGTCTCTGTCACTGCCAATTACTTGTCACTTACTATGACGCGCCTCTCACCAATGTGAGAACCAATGCGGCACGCTAAGCAGAAAATTTACTTTTTTAAATTAAGTATAATGCAAACGAACATTTGTCAAAATTCGACTAAATTATGTGCTACCGGCAAAGCTGCAGTGCATTACAATCAAAACACTGACTGAATGCATTGCAAACTGTAGTCACTGAGTTTATGTTCAGTTTGTTGCGTAGCAACATAAACGCATCACCGAGTTTGTTGCTACACAAAACCACAACTGAGATTTGTAGCCTACTAATGCAACAGTTTCATAAATCTTAAATCAATGGCATTTTCTATTCAATCATACGCTTTCTACAATTACTCTGTCCAAAGATCAGAGGTAATGTCAAGACTTAATATATGGCTACCACCATAGACATAATAAATACATAGACGCCCTATTGGCCGCTGGAGCGTACGTCAATGGCGCCGCCATATTGCGGAGGGCAACTTTCTCATAACGAGAATTGAGAAAAATGCCTGTTTCGTGTGCTGCTTGGGGCTGTACAAATCGCCACACAATTGAAAACAGGTCTCGAGGAATTATCTTTCACTTTAGTTTACAAAGACGTGAAACTCACCGAGTGGTCTGGGGTGTTCACTGATATGCTCACACAACAATCACTTCAAAAGATGCTTTCCAACAGGTTTTATTGTAGTTTTTGTCCCACTTTCACGTCTTTGTAAACTAAAGTTTAATGCGTTTTATGAAGGATTGTTCCAGTGCACCTATGCAACCACAAAAACCGAAAATTCTCGGGCCAGCTGCATGTGTCCAAATTTCAATCTTAACCATTCTATTTCATCAGAAACGATCTTAAAACAGGGCTTTAAGTGTAAAATACCGAACTTGTCCTTTAACCGTTTTACACGTCCACACTACTGCTCCTGCAAATACAACCTTACACCGCCTTCACACTGGCAGTTGAAATCAGCTCCGTAATACGCCCCCAGCGGACGTCGTACTACACCGTTGAAAAGCGTTGGAAGCGTGTAGAACAAAAATGGCGGAGAGATTAGATATCTTCTTTTTCTGCTTGCATCTCCATAGGAGAGCAACAGCAAGAGCATTAACCAGCTGACGATTTGCCATCATGGCATTTTCTGGGTGTATGTGAATGAGCGGGGTGAGGGAAAACGGCCACAATATTTAATTATACATTTTAATTGTTTTAACTGCCCTAATAACGTAAATAAAAAAAATGACATGACATATTATAAAATCATTATTTATTTTATTAAAAGTTAAGAATTCAGGTTTGTTTATCAGTACCATAGCAACGCTAACTTCCGCTGGAATTGTCAGATAGGAACCGTCCGTAGCCTTTCGCAAGAGTTCAATTTTTTTAACGCATCCGGATGACCACCTGACACGATTTCTGCACCGCACTCGCTCAGACCCATTCGCATGCGGTCTGCGAATCTCCATAGGAAATGAATGACTTCCGGTCGTTTCGAAGCCGTATCGGAGCTGAATTCAACTGCCGGTGTGAAGGCGGCGTTAGACTCATCTCATAATTCATAACATTAACAAATAAATTCACATCATTAATAAAACATTACAAAAAGGGATTCTTTTCAACCAAAAAGATTTATTGAAGACATTAACAAAAACACGCTGAGCTGACAGGTCTGAGGATTGTCCAAAACAGTTCACATGGTCATCAAGACCAGGATGCTTCTTCCGCAGAACCAGGTGATGGAAAACCAAATCCTCATTCAGAGATGAAAGCAGGCCTCATAGATGGTGCTTGAGTGGAGCTTCAGTTGGGCTTCCACCAGACTCGTGCTGAGGAGATTGAAGTGGAGGAGCACTCCCAGCTTCAGCGCACGGCGGCTGCTTTACTTGGACCTCTGCCTCATCTTTCGCCTTTTACGCTTCAGCCTAAAAAACAAACAAACATGGAACATTTCATGCTTATTCCAATAGAGGAGGAGGGACAAATTGAGAGCTTATTTGATTAAACTCACCTGCGCATGCGCTTCTTTCGCCACTAAAATAAAGCACAATCATTAATACATTTGAATTCATTAGGTAATTAAGACAAAGCATTTTTTGGAGAAAAACTGCACATGCGCATTAGCAACTAGCGCAATGGCTACATTTTCGCCAAATCGCCATGCAGCATGGCGGTTCGGAAAAAATAAATGCAAGAAACAACAACAACGAATACGACTTAGTTTCTAATAGAGTGCCATTTTTAACAATGAATAAGCAATCAATAAAACCAACATGCGGCAGCTGCAAATTCAACGTGGTCCTGCGAGATATTTACTGAGAAACAACCGCCTTAGCAGGCTAGCAGAGAAGGCCCAAACATAACTGCATGTGGCTATTCCACGCTAAAAAAAAAAAAAAAAAACATTTAAGCAAAACACTCATTTAAAAACCAAATAATAGTTATCGCGTAAAAACTATAAGAAATAGATAGTGTACTAGCATTCTAGTTGCTATCAAGACTAGCCAGATAATGACAAACACCATTTAATGTAGGCCTACACATGAAAGTTTAACTTACCTTCGCTCTCATGATGACAAGATAGTTCTGTAAATAAAGTAATGCTAGAAATAAAGCTGGATGGAACGTAAATATCTTGGATTAATATCGATTGTAAGAGATGTTAACACAAGATCAGCAGAGACCACTTCCTTACCTCGTCCAGCGATAACGACTTCAAGACACCAACAACGTCGTGATCCCGCCCACCTGCTCCACTGATTCGTCGGCTGTTTCAGCTTCTGACTGAACTAGATGAATGATTGACATGTGATTGGAAAGCTGACACCCTCAGCTTTGAACATGTGCCTGACATGTATCTCATCATCATGATTAATTAGAGGCTGTCTATGATTAGAGGACGCTTGCACGTTTTGATGATGATGTGTAGATTGCGTATTTCTCCGTTCGAGTGCGTTTTGTGTTCTGGACATCCGCGACATAATAGTGCTAGTGGATATGTACCAAGAAGGAACACTTTTCTTAACAACCGTTTTTGATGATGCACGTGAAGATATGTAAAAGTATGTTATGGGGTAAAAAGCGCCCCTGCTTTTGGGGCTAAAGTAAGAATAATGAACACGATAATAAAGAGATGGCTGACTTTTCCATTTGTTGACAAGACATGTTTAGGTGTCCACCTTAGTCAGAGATAATCACCTTTATAAATTATAATGAAACCATCACATAAAAAAAAAGATATTAATCATATTATATAATAAAATATAATATTCATTGTTACTACTTAATACTATATTAAATTATTGTGGGATCCCATTCAATGCTTTTCAGAATCTTTACTTTTTAAATAATATTTTTTCTGTATTTTTTTAAATGAACATATTTTAATGAGAGTGTATTTATTAACAAAAATTCATTCTTATTCATTAAATGAAAGTATACATTATGAAAAGCACATTTTTCTTAGAGTGTGTCTTTAGCCCCGTTGTATTATTTCTGACACCATTTTGGTTAGTATGTTCAAGTGTGTGAGAGAATACCCCTCTAAGCATGTAGCTGGATTTGCTGACCTGGCTAAATGTATATTTTAAGGTTTCCAGCTGACAAAATGACAAAGAAAAGCTCTACAACTGACGCTCATCAGCCTGAGAGCAGGGAATGCCCATCGGTGGAATCCCAGGTTGCTGGGAAAAGCCCTATAGTTGAGTATTGTGCATTTAATAAAATAGAACACCCATTATTGAGAGAACTCAAATGGTTCAGAGAAAACAATTCCCTGAGCTAATTTAGTTCATTTAATTGTCTACAACATGAAGTGTGTCTTGTGCTATACATTAAAGAACACAATTCCCATTACAGTAGATTAACAAATAGATTTCAAACTGTGCAAAGCATGACATTAAAAATGTCATTTAATACATAAAATGCTGGTCCGAATCATAAATCTCATTTCAAAAGATTCAAAGTCACTGCTTTCAATTAAAATGTCAAATAGCACTTCCTGTATTATTGTCTACTGGCAGGAAAATAAGTGCTGCATATTTAATGGAAATCAAGTGTAATATTGCTTTCACTCGTGCTCAGATTATTAATCAAAACTGTGACTCCAAACACAAGGAGAGAGACAAGATGCATGCATGAAGCAGTAAGGGACTGAGACAGGCCACTATTAAATATTGAAATATTGCTCCATTCAGCCACAGGCTTTATAAGCTGGATGTTTTTCTATTTTGCCTGCTCGTACATCACAGTCAGGTGTAGTCTCGATCACAACTCCAGTGACTGCTTTTTAAATCTCAACTGAATTGTTCTGCATGCGTTCACACAGGCTATAAGGTGTCCGCTGGGTGGTCATGCTACATGTTCTTATGAATGATTGTGCTCTTATGAGAAGGACCGTTTTAATTTTCCATCAGTGTGGAAATATGCCGCAAGACACGAGTCTTTTATAGTGTGGCCTTGGTAACGGTGCATTTGATACAACAGAGTATGGATACATAAAATGCTATACTATAAGCCCTAGCAAGACAAAGGAATATTTGAGAAATGTTTACATCCTAATTTACAACACAGAATGCTGTTTATTATTAAAGCAATACAAAAATAAAGCAATAACTAGTATAAATACTATAAACGATAAAATCACTCCAGCCCACCGACTCGAGCGTCCATGGTGGCGGACTCTGCTCAATCTATGCTTGATGGCACCACGGCTTTCCCACATCGGCGAAGACTCTTTGACAGCACAATCCTCCTTCTCCTGGGTTTCGGTATCACTGTAACAAGGTTTGTGTTCAGGGAAGGAGGAGGCGGGAACCGGTAAAAAAAACAATCAACGTAAAGTTTACATAAAGCAAAACAAAGTCCAGGCCTGGTCCTCTCTTGTCCTTTACTGTCGCCACTCCTCCTTATATCCTTCGAAGCTTCTCCGTAGGACTCGAGACCATGTGTGGTGTGCAGGTGACTCATTATCACTCGTGCTAGCGGTCTCGCTCCGTTCCCATGGCTCTCGGCCCCGCCCTGCTTTCCATAGGTATTTATAAGATTAGATGCGTGATTTTTTTTTTTTTTTCAAACCAGTTCAGCGGAAATCTCGCCCTGCAGCTAATTTCATTTTCGCTGAACTGGTTGGGGGGGGGGGGACACACGCTTACATAAAATGCTAGCTGACATTAGCCTTAGTGAGACAAAGGAGTTGGTCATTTTCTTCAAAAAAAAACAAATTTCACCACAACATCTACTCTAAACAATGCTATTAAACAAAACATGTGGTGGTAGAAGTGATCATGACTTTCAAAAAAATTCTCATGTAATGAAGGTATACCCACTGTTGCACATTGCTAGTGTACAAATTGTGCTAGTGAGCATGTGAAAAGTGTGTTTTCTAAAAGTCCACAGCATTAAATGTGCTTATTCTTTATGAATGACAGCGTTGCAGCTTTTCCAGTAGGAAGCCCTCAATTCAGCATAGCGTGAGGTAGCGCTGGAGAAACCTGCATGCTAAATAATTGATTATGTACATAAAGCAATGTAGGAGGAAAGAGGGGCAGGACAGAACCTTAGAAGCCTGTAAATAAATCCACAAACACCAAAGCTTCAGCACAGCACCCTGGTTTCGGTTTTGTTATCTGGGCTAATCCACAAAATGAGCCCACGAGTGACTGTGGCTTTCTAATATAAATCTATAGATAAAACTGTCAGTCTGACATACTTGTGGCTATTAAGTAATGTATTAGCTGTGGCACAGCATCTTCGTGTGAGATCTTGCAGGATTCTTTAGGGACTATGCAAATACACCATAAATTGCACAGGGAGGGGGAAAACTGTTTTGCATTATTCATAAAGGATGCCTTCAGAAATTACAGCGCACTACACTGCAGGTGCACTTTTAAATATGAATCGCAATTAACAGGAAATATTAGTGGCCAAGTCATTTATTTCGTGATTTGTAGATGTATGGAAGATATGTAGATACAAAAAGCAAGCTGTGACAAGGATATATTTTGTCACGAAGTGCACTGAAAAAATACGCATTATGAACAAACTAAACTTAATTTGTCTCTAATTTGTTAAAACAGACAAAGGAGTAAAAAAATAAATACAGCATTGAATGTTTATAAGATCAATTTTTTAGCCCATACACTTACAAAATGTTGCATACTGTATCTGAACATGTTCCAAAGACTATTTGAAATTCCATTTCAATGGCTGGATTTTTAAATTGCCCTTACAAGTCATATTTACATCTTCTGAAATGTGAACTGTCAAGACACAGTCAAAATAATAAAGGTGAATTGTTTTCTTTCTTTTTTAACATCATCTTTTCAGACAAAAGAAATTGCCTCAAAATACTGAGACATGCACCATTTAAAAAAAGTAGGAGAAATTCCCCCCGGGCACAATGTTAGTTATATGTTTTGAGATGTTTTCCAATCTAACAAACAATCTGTAAGCAAGATATAGATCACAAAATTACCTCTTTCCACTGAATGATATATAGTGGCTTGATTTTTTTCATTACCTAAATAAATTCCTAAAGCCAATGATAATAACAGTCATTACTCAGAGGGACGGTAAAGGCTTTTAATATTCCAAAGAGCAACTCAAACTACAGCTCCATGTTGCAGCATTAGCCGACAGATGGTTGTGCCAGCATGAGCATAATGGTAAATAAACGTATCAGAGAAGGCCTGAGCTGCTCCTTAACCATCCAGGTGGACATGGGTGTGAAAGTGCACAGCTACATGCATATTAGACAGATCAACTTAAATTATAAACCACAATCAGTGAGTGCAGCAATTGGCTGGCTGTTGGTGTTTATACAGCTACTATGCATGGCAATGACAAACCAGGTCCCTCTGTAGCAGCTCTGATGACTAATTTAAACTCAAAATGCTTCACTTATAGCTCGATTTCTCCTATCCAAGTTTACCGTGCAGAGACAATTACAAGAACGCCATTTGTAGTTTGACTTCCAGATGAGTGTTATCACTGTGGCGCTTTTAAAATATTGATTTGTTTATTTGAGTGGTCAACTTCTGGCTCAACTAATGGCATGAAAACCTTAGATATGTATACGTAGATGCCACATTCGACCACTCCAGAAATGTCAGCGCACTGTTCCATTATAGATCAGCTTGCGTATAGCGGCACATTGAAACAGCCACTAGGCCTAATGAGGCATATATATGTGTGATTTAAACGTTCAGTCGAAGTCGACTTTCGGTCTCTTTATGGATCATCATGCTCCAAGCTTTTCGATCAGTTAACAGCAGTATGAATGTTAACAGCTCTTTTTATTGTTGCTGCTTTATTTGATTTTAATTCAATTCAATTCACATTTATTTGCAATCTGCATGCGCTGGATATTGGTTATCTTTTCTCACTCCTTTGAAGGCATCTTGATTAAACCGCTCCATATTTAACGTAGCACACAAAAGACCTGAAACGTAAGCGTTGAGACCTGTTTTACAGAAAATGGAGATTTGTGGTGCATAACCCGCATACCATTGCTCTCCTGTGCGCCAACCAACACTTCACACATCCGCCACCTACTGGCCAGGAGTCTGAAGCTCGGAGTGATGCACAGAAGAGCAATAGATGAAAAAGATGATAAAAAAGATGGTCATCAGTTTTACAGAAAACCATCATCAAAAGCCCCTTCAGAAGCTAAATGCAGACGTTAATGGTTGCAAGCCATTAAACAAACATTGGGCTGATGGAATGCAATGTTTACCCTACTATTAAAGCATGAATATGATGTAAACAATTCATAGGGGGCATGATGTATTAGCTCTACAGTTACAGAATTAAATAATATTTGAAACTATAACATTTTACATAGATAAAATTTAAACCTATAACATTCTCACAGTTCTGACTTTTTTCTCACAATTGCCAGTTTATATAATTATTCTGAGAAAAAAAAAAGGTCAGAATTGTGGGATATAAACTCACAGTTCTGAGGAAAAATTGAGAATATGAGCACTTGGAAAACGATCAGTGAAGAATGTCGGAAACCAAACAGTTGATGGGCCCCATTGACTTACATTGTTGTTGTTTTTTTAATTCATATAGAAGACAATGGGGTCAACTATTTGGTTGACCAAATATCTTCTTTTGAGTAAAACAGGAGGAAATTCATACAGGTTTGGAACAACTTGAGGGTGAGTAAGTGACAGAATTTTCATTTTTAAGTGAACTATCCCTTTAAGGGCTCAGCTGGTGAGGAGCCATGGCTCTAGCTGTCCTGCACAGTTTTCCGCAACAAAGCAGTCTCTATAATAAAAAGCTGAAATCGGATCTAGAGAGTATCAATTTAGAGAATGTAACTGGATTATTAAGTGAATGTTTATCAGTAAACGCAATGACAGCGGTGTGATTGCAGCTTTCTAGCAGACATACACTCCCACACTTGCCCCAGCACTGAAATAGATCAAAGAGAATCCAGAAAGTGTTGATTTCCTCTGAGGATGTCCTTATTTACCAGAACAGCAATGATGAGTCAGACTGGAATACCCTGCAGCTCCGTTTCATCAAAACTAAATAAAATTTGCTGCTGAGAAACCGTGAGTGAGGTTAAAGAAAAACAGGCAACTTTTCATTGTGTTCGCCTAACCACTAAAAGTAAGATGTTCCTTTTCACCTCTTCATGTTACTAAGACCATCTTTTCAGTTCTAATAAATCATATTTGTTCTTCACGAGGTGACCTAATATGAGTTTTGAATCTATAAAGCAAATATCCGTCTCACCATTAGTTATATTCTCAACTATATTGGCAATTTCTTCTGTTTTTCCTCAGTGATGTTTTACAAGAGACAGAATGCCTGAATGCCTGCACGCCGTCCATTTTTATCTCTCAGGCGTGTCATACATAATGAAGTATAGTAAGACTGTGTGAAATAGGATTTGACACTCTGAGGAAGAATCGTTGCGGAGCAGACGTCCACAGAGCATGTCAGCTGGGGATTAGCAACTCAACGGTGGAAATGAGAACAATTCCTCCATCTTTCCCAGTTAATTCCTACCTACCATTTATCATGGTGTCCTGACAGCGTGAGAGGACAAAAGACAACTAAACAATCATGGAATAAAAAATCCCTGGGATGATGGAATGCTGAAATAGAAATAAAATAAGAACAAGGATTCCTTACCTTCACCTAATGTAACACTAGTCAGATAAGCTTGATCCTAGTCCAATATCTGTTGTTTAACCACAATAACGGATACCTTACCCCGTCTACTGCTTACTTTAACATTTGTGCCTGGTCCACAGATCTACGATAGGCCACATCATTCAATACAGAAAGCCCACTGTGCATCTTCTCTCAAAAGCCATTACAAGAGGAGAGCAGGTGCTCAAGCCAATAAGCGAGGAAACCCCACTTCAAGGCGGAGGCTCTGTAATTCACTTTTTCCATCTCCATGAACTTATGTGATTATGATAAATATGGTATTTTTCCTGCAAGGGGCCATTTGCCGTGAAACATTTACAAAACAAAAACGGAGTAGGGCAATGGAAGCTGAACCCAAAGACAGGCGTCCACTGCCTTTCTCTTGATTTTCTCATTTGCTTTTATCACTGCCGTCACACGTCCACAGGCTATTCTTTATACCCGAGTAGAAAATAGGCGTTTTTAGATTATCCTCGATTTCATTGCATTAGTGGAGTGTTTTGATTAAGACACCTAACCTGAGGGTGCTGCTGTCCGATAATGGGGTGAAGGGGAGACAGGTGAACTGGCTAGGACAATGCAAGTAACTAGAGAAGGAAGAAGCCTATTCTGACATTCTGCTCATTGTTTTCCAAGAGCCGTGTGCCAAATGTCTCTTTTTGGAGCTGGAAGATGAGGATTTGAATAATGAAAGCACAGTCATGACTACAAAAGAGAGCTTGTTATTTTCTGCCTCTTTGCTGGCGGTTGCTTTTTGGCGAAACAAGTACTCTTCATGTAAACTACAGTCGAGCCTCAAATGCACTTCTCTTTGAGAATATACTTCAAAAAGAACAATCTTTGACAACTCCTGATGTCAAAAACCTTTGTAGTTAATAGATTGAGCATAAAAACACTAAAGAACAATCTATATATATTTATGCACACTGATGAGAAAAAACATTATGACTAGTCACAGGTGAAGTGTATTGTTGATCATCCCCTAACAAGGTCACATATTAAGATTGGGGTAGATTAGATGGTAAGCAAACAGTCATTTCTCATATTCAACAAGTTGGATGCAGGAGAAATGGGCAGGAATAAAGATCTGAGAGACTTTGACAAGGACAAAATTGTTATGGCGACTGGGTCAAAATATCTCTGAAACTTGTGGGTTGCTCCTGGTCAGCAGTGGTGAGAATTTACCAACAGTGGCCTGAGGAGGGACAATCCACAAACCGGTGACGTGGTGGGCACGGGTCACGAGGGTTGCACGAGAGCAACGAAGGTCGGAGCCAACAGAAGCTCTACTGTCTCACAAAATGTTAATGATGTTAAGGGAGGAATGTGTATCACTACACACTCTGCTACTCTGTAACTTTACATAGTGAATTATTTTTTTCCACACTAAAATCATGGTAACATGCATATTGTATGCATATCTTCACACAAAAAATGTTTTCACAAGAATATTAAAGCAGCACAACGGTTTTCAACTGATAAATATGGATCATGTGACATCTGTATGAAAATGTAAATATGTGCTTCAAGCTTTTCTCTCAAAAACACACAAAAAAAAAACAGTGGTGAGAAAACAGCGGTTAAGAAAGCATCTGATTGTAGCTATGTTTGCACAAGCTCTGCAATTCGGCACTCCAGTCACGTCATGTTAATTTATATACCACCACGGTACATAATGATTTAAAGCTAGCTTTACAGTATAAAACATGAAAAAACAGTGTCAGTGTTGCTTTCAATAAGAACTAAAAACTTTGTTCAGCTCTCATTTTGTTCATGTTTTTACTTGCATATGCCCTTTTAGTGGACTGAAGGCGGAGCACCCAGAGCACATAAATATTATGTAATCGCCATGAACCAATGGTAGCTTGAAGGTTTTTACCAGCCAGAGCAAAGTTTGCTTTTGCAAGCTGTTTCTTACTCCCAAAACGTTTTAGCCTGATTTTGAACTCAAAGGTCAAAGGGTCAAAGACGTCCATGTTTTTAAGAGCTGCCCAGGGGAAAGCCTCCTACTACTCAGCACCTCAAACCAACTAGGGCCACAAAGACAGAATCTGCTCTAATCAGTCCTCCAAAAGTCATTAAGATAGTTAAAGCCAAAGGCAAACCACACAAAAGTGCAAAACCTAAACCAGTGCAGAAAAGGAAGTCGGTGTGATCCTGCTGTATTTACATTGCAGTTACTGATTTAGATAAAACCCATACCCTATTTTAAACAATGTTTACATCAACGAGGGTGCTAGTTTTATTTATGACTGTTTAGAGTATAGAATTACTTAATGCAGTTCATTTACAAGGGTTATACTATGCTGGTCAATAAAAAAAAAGAGAATTTTGAAAAAAATTATCTACCGTGTGTGTTATTTTGTGTGTACATTTTTTTTAAGCGCTTTTTCGTATTCTTCATTTGAAGGTTCTGAATTGTTATAACACTCCTCAAATCGCTCGCTACAGATGCAAAAAACGCAGAAAATCGAACCCGATTCGATTTTTTTATGACGGACAAAAGTTTCGGAGACAGTGTGTAACCGTGATTGACACAACGTGAGGTCTATTTATTTTTTAACGTGTGAAAATTTCAGACGAGAATTTCTGACTCAGTGTGCAAGGACCTTAATGAGCAAATATAGAACCAATTAAAATTTGTCATTTTAATTCAGTATCTTCCATATTATGCAATGAAAAATTCAGAAAAAGTTAGAAAATGTCTTTACATAACTTGTCATTTTAATACAAGATTGCAAAAAATGTGAACTGTATAAAAATAATATCTCTCAACTATACCAGTTGTTTTACACTAACAGCTTGGTTAATTAAATAACTACCAGTGTTATTTAATAAAAAGTAAAAATAAAGTAGTGATCACTGAGAACTACAGGTAGTGGGCTAAACAGAGACGTTTTCCTGTTTGAAGATTGTTATGGCCGCTGGGTTGGCGCATTCTTTGCTTTGTACACTGGATAATATGGGGATTTCCATTTCCTCCACCTTCACTTTTACTGCAATAAGTGTGTTAGAGAGAGAGACAGGGAAGCCATGTAAGAATGTAAGCCATGTACATTTAAAAAACTAAATACATTTTATATTTAAAAATAAATACTACATACTTTCGTCCTCAGGTTCAGCCTTTATTTGTAAGATGGGGGCTGTGATGGAGGATTTGCCTGCCTCTTGTTCTTGATTTGTGACGTTTGGTGCCCCCTGTGGTCGATTCGTCTCTGGATTCTCATTATGCTGAGTGGGCTGGGTTTTAGATGTGCATTTACTTGTGTTTTTCTTTACAAATCTTCGTCCTACAGTAATAAATACAGAATAGTAAGAGAATGAAGGAAAGATAATAAACATCACATCTATTCAAAGGGAATTTAATGAAAGCAACCATCATGTGCTTTAAAGGGTTAGTTCACCCAAAAATGAAAATGATGTCATTAATGACTCACCCTCATGTCGTTCCAAGCCCGTAAGACCTCCGTTCATCTTCGGAACACAGTTTAAGATATTTTAGATTTAGTCCGAGAGTTTTCTGTCCCTCCATTGAAAAAGTATGTACGATATTATGTCCTTGTCCAGAAAGGAAATAAAGACATCATCAAAGTAGTCCATGTGACATCAGTGGGTTAGTTAGAATGTTTTGAAGCATCGAAAAATACATTTTGGTCCAAAAATAACAAAAACTATGACTTTATTAAACATTGTATTGTCTTCCGGTTCTGTCCGCAGTGACTCTGGTGACGTAAGACGCTGCTGACGTGTTCTCGGATAACCAGTAACCAGAGAACACGTCACCAGCGTCACTGCGGACTCATGAACCCGGAACCGGAAGAGAATACAATGCTTAATAAAGTCATAGTTTTTGTTATTTTTGGACCAAAATGTATTTTCGATGCTTCAAAACATTCTAACTAACCCACTGATGTCACATGGACTACTTTGATGATGTCTTTATTTCCTTTCTGGACAAGGACAGTATACCGTACATACATTTTCAAAGGAGGGACAGAAATCTCTCGGACTAAATCTAAAATATCTTAAACTGTGTTCCGAAGATGAACGGAGGTCTTACGGGCTTGAAACGACATGAGGGTGAGTCATTAATGACATAATTTTCATTTTTGGGTGAACTAACCCTTTAATTGTTTATCATTCAAAATTGAATATTTAATATTTATTCTTTAAAGAAGAAACTAAGAATAAATTGAAATAAAACATACTCCTTTTCCCCATAAAAGGTTTTGCCTTTTTGCTTGTGTTCGAGCGTTCCTGACCCTGAGGTTCTACACAAAGAGCACAATATAACATGAAAACCAAATTTTGGAGTGCATACTGTATATGAATATTGTGAAAATGACAATAATCTACCTGGTCCGATGGGTGGCTGCAGCTGGTAGCCAGTGATTTCACACCAGCCCACAGGATAAATTTCAGGGGACTGACAGTCTACCCACTGATCAAACTCAGGCCCCCAGCCATCAAAGTGGAGAAGGAGAAGCCGGCCTACGCAGCGCCTAACAGTGGCCACACACACCAGCCGGGGCTCCATGAGGTCCACTGCCTCTAGCTTCATACCTGGGGTAAAGCCATGGCCTACATCATCCTGGGAAACACATAAGGAAGGGAGCACAAGACCAGCTTAAAACACATTAAACCCACAGATGCAGTAACACATTGTATGCGACTCAATTGTCAAAATAAAAGGTTTACCGTGTTGAAAAGTCTTCGTGGAGCAGCTACAGTTCCTGTTTCTTCTAAATATTTTGTCCATGTGAAAGTGGCATGATCATAACCTGATGAGAAAGGAGACAATATCAACAAACACTGTATGAAATTGCAGATAAAGGCTCTTTAGCTTCAATATTGATTTTTGTTTCAAAAAGACCACTGAAATAATCGGTTGAGCACATTACCAGGAGGTAGAGTAAGAGATATGTCGTTGCTCTCGCAATATCCAACAGGTAAAATGGCATGTGAGCTGGCATGGTAGCAAAACCAGTCAGAACCGTCAGCGATCTCGACACCATCAATGCCTACCATGATGTATCCATCCAGCAACACCTGAGCGATAAAATAAGCCAGATGAGTGCAATGACTTTCAACAAGGTAATGTTCAATATTCATTTAAAGTCGTAAATAAATAGTGGCTGTATCGTACCTTACGGACTGATGCAACACAGATGTTCCCAAGGTTCAGAGGATCAACTGCTTCAAGTTTCATGCCTTCCTCAAAAAATGTATTTCCCATGTAAACGGTCCTCAACTGTTTGCATACAGCAAGACATTATACATACTAGATGATTACATGACATAAGATTGTTAAACTTTAACACAAAATGTAAAAAAAAAAAAAAGAATATTTTAGTTCATGTGTATGCACTAACCTTATTAAACTGATCTGGCACACTGTTTTGAAGGACTTTATGAAATGCTGGATGGCTACCCATGTTTACATTTTCATCTGTGTCAGAAAAATCATGCATGACATCATTACAAATAACCTACTGACAAAAAAAGGCAGAGTGAAGAATATGGAAAAAACAAAAGCGGTTTTATCTTACACAGTTGTTTAGTTTTGTTCCACATTTTTTCTTTTTTGGGCCTCCATACAAAAATATTTCGTTTTTTAAAAATCCCTTCTTTTTTTAATGAAGCCCCACACAAAACATATGGAAGAAAAAATATTGTGATCACAAATCAAGAATTTGATCCCAGGATTTAATAATTTGTGGCCAATTTTTTATTCTAATAATTTTAGTGTAATCGTTCCCACGACTGACAACCATTTAATTAAAACAAGGGGGAAATATGATCAGTTATGGGAACAATTTTTTTTTAACCATATATTTATGGAACAAATATACACGATAACCATTAATAACATATGTACTTCCATAAACTTCCTTCCCATCCTCCCCTCAGCATCCACAAATTGAATTACAAACAAAAATGGAATAAATCTATGGCCACAATATCTCGTTTTTCCCCTCCCCACATCCTGTGCGAAGCTCTGTATTTTTCATCTCATGTAAAGGTTTCAGACTCTTCATGTTTGTACTGACATTTTGTCTATCTGTGGGTTTCTAGGCTTGGCTCAATCTATAGATGCCAGTTTCTTCTCACCTGTTTCTTTGATTGAGTGCCCCACTCTTTCAGACCAGCCAACAGGGTGTACTAGAGGACTCTGCATGTGACACCAGAAATCTGAGAGCACCTCGCCCGAGGGTCCCAGTCCCCCATCCTCATACAGCAGTCTGAGTCGCCCTCCTATGACAGTATCCACCACTGCCAAACGGGTACGGCTCACCTGTGAGCGATCGACCACCTCCACACGAAACCCCTGTCTGAACGGACACCTCAAACTGTCTGCCATCTGAAACACATTCAGACGGGAAAGAGAGGAAAACAGTTAAGCAGAAATTCAAGAAAATCAGATGGCGTCAATTGATTACTAGGGCTGAGTATTGAGTTCGATACTTTTTAGGTACCGACCGAATTGCCTCGATACTATCGATTATCGAAACATGTCTTGTTTTTCGGTACCAAATTTCGATACCTAAGGGGTTAATCTCGTCAACGTTAATGAAACAATAAGCATGCAGCATGATTGGCTGTGGCGGAAAAACACTAGTTTACGCGGCTGCTCAGAGACGCAGCTCATCGCACGTGAGGCTGTAGTGTGTGTGTGTGTGTGTGTGTAAGCGTCCCAACCCAGATTGATAGAAAATATGTGGAAAAAATCAAAAGTGTACCTGACTCGATGCCAGAAGCACGCGATGCAATATTTTCGACAAGATAATTGCTGCCAAGACCGGCAACACGATAAATCTGATAAGGCACTTAAAAGCGCACAGAATACACTTGAGAGTAGAAAATGTATCCGTCTTCGACTGCAAGAACTGGAGCGCATCACAAATGAACCGAAACTCAGCATATAGGATACTTGCCTCACAGACATGAGAAATAGGCCTATAGACGTCTACTTTTAAACGAAACAATTAGAAATAAATAGTTTGATGATGTAATCCATATAGGCGAGCACACATTCACTACTGCAGGAATGACGAGTCAGCATCGCCATAATCATCTTTGCAGCCAGCACACTCAGAAAACACTTGTTTATTAATAAACAATTAAAATATCTCCTAGCTATTTTTTCCCGACACAATCATAATCATTAGGCTACTTTTGCCAGTGCTTTGCGGCAATCTTTATGCGTGCTGAGCGTGAGGCATATATCCCGCATCCCAGTAGCCTATATTTAATTCAATTCACATTTATTCGTATAGCATTTTTCACAATACATATCGTTTCAAAGCAGCTTTACAGAAAATGCATGCATCTAAATTACAATTTAGAGTGATCTGTTATCAGAGGTGACTGTGTGTAATGCATTTAAATTAATTTTCATTCAGTTTCATTGTTAAACAATGCATTAAGTTAAGGCAGAAACAATGAGCTCATTGAAGTAAAGAATACATGTTGTTAAATGATTAGGAAACATAAAAAACTTTAGCATTGGTGCTTTTTTACAGACGCAAAATATGAGTGTAAAAAAGTCAACAAACTGGAAAAATTAAAGTTTTTTTTAGGTTATGTAATATTGTTAAAACGGATTTCATAAAATTGGTATCGAAAAAAGTATCGTTCAGGAACCGGTATCGAAGTCAAGTTATCGATATGGTATCGGTATCGAAAATTGTGTTACGATACCCAGCCCTATTGATTACTAATTTTCCATTGCCTTTACCTTGACATGAAAGTCAACAGGAAGTGTGTGTGCTCCAACTAGTCTCTCCATCAGGTAGGATTTCCAGTCTTTAATTTGCTGGTGGAACTCTGTAGGACAAAAAAAATGGTCAAGATGTAGCATTTTTATGGCATTTAAACCTAATGACTAAGGGTGTCACGATTTCGATTTTAAATCAAAATCGACCAAAATTAAGTCACAATCTCGAACTTTGAATTAAAAAATGTAATCGTCGATGCTGCCACGCCCCCATGTCACGTCCGGTCGGTGTGCCAAGTGGAAAAAAAACACGCATGTTGAAGTGCTGCGAGTCAACCTCCTCTAACTTAGCTACAGCCAGTCAAAAGATAGCATGGCAACTGCAGATGCAGGAGACCCATCAACTCGTCTACTCTTTCATTGAAGTCGCCGGTGTGGAAGTATTTTGGATTTCCAGCGAGTTATGTTGACAATGTTCGCGCTTAAAAAAAAGCCACAGTTTGTAAGCTCTGCTATGTGCGTGTACCATATTCTTCCACTGGCAGCACGACTAACATGGCAGGGCATCTCCGCAGGCACCACAAAAACATAGATTTATCTGTTAAACCAACAATTGTTAGTTTGTTTTGTGAACTTGAATGTCATCTTCTGTGAAGAAGACTGCAGTTACAAAAGAGAAACTAGATGGCAGGTTATTTTGCTTAAGTTTCCATTGACTAAAGATACAAGTTATTATATTATATTATATTATAAGCACTTTATGCTGTTAATAAATGTTTTAAATTTGACAATGTAGTGTGGTACATTGCGAACAAAGGTGAGATATTATATTGCATAAAAGTCTAGTCTAAAAATGGCATAGCAACCTGTGCTTTAAAAAAAATATATATTTTAAACGAGAATCGAACCGTGACCTTAGAATCAAAAATTAAATTGAATAGAAGATTTGGAGAATCGTGACACCCCTACTAATGACTTAGTGTAAACATTCACCTTGAGGAAGGACCAGGAGCTTGTTATTCAGTGCACACCAGCCTAAAGGATGAACATCAGTCGTGCCTAAGTTACACCACAGGTCATGGCTGTCATCATCCTCAAAACCTTCAAGGCGAAGAAGAGCTTTATAGCCTGAGAGAAACACATCACATAACACAATATGACAAAGACTGAATCAATTTATCACACAACATCCTATTAATCTCCATAATAAAAATTAATGTTTTATTAAAATAACATTTATTAAATTCCAAACTACTCTGTAAATGTGTAACTTTAAAACCTCTTGGTTTAAATTTACCAATAACTTGCAAAACCTAAGTTTCCTCTGTCACCTGTCCAGAGTCATCCGTTTATGAATCACAGTACACTATATTTTTTGTTTTTAATTAGAAAGAGTATTGTATTGTTTAATGAGTATCGTTTCTTTATTGCTTTTGTATATTTATTTGTGCAGTCTGTTTAACTCATTACATTTTATTCAGACTGCAAACACAAAACTTGGGTAAAATAAAATAACTATAAATATAATATTCATCTTTTCAAACCGAGAACAACTTGAGGGACTCATACGCAACTATTTACAAAAGGTGAAAAAATTCACAGATGCTCGAGAAGGAAACACGATGCATTAAGAGCCGGGGGTGAAAACTTTTGAACAGGACGAAGATTTTCTTATTTTGTTCTTTTTTTCTTCTTCATTTAGCACAGCCCTTTAGAAGCTACAGAAGCAACCTAACATGTTTCCCAGAAGACAAAATATGTACAATTTATCCTGATCTTCAAATTGAAATAGTTTACAATATTACTTTTTTTCTTATAGTTGAGCATAAGAGACTTCTTTCAAAAGTATTAACAACCCCAAACTTTTGAACGGTAGTGTAATTTTAAAAATAATATATTCATATTTTGATAGAAAAAATAAAATATATAATATTGGATTTGCTTCGGTGTTCAGCAGTGGTGGAGGAAACAATAGTTTATATACCTGTCAGCTGTACAACAGTGGCGATCCAGTACAAGGCTGTATGGGTATTCAAAACCTCCACTTTTAACCCCACAAAGATGTCGTCCCATTGAGCACAGAGTGGCGCCTGTGAAATGGGCAATAATGACCATTATAATGCAATAGCAAAAATAATGTGAAGGAAATTTACACATCATGTAATATGTTATTACATCCACCACATTTATTTTACAGGTACATTTCAACAAGAACTTGGTGGATAGAAATCACTCACGTGTCTGAAGCAGGATACAGGGGCAGCGAGGAAGCCACTTTTCTCAAGGTAACTACCCCAGTCAAATCCAGCCAAAGTAGCTTGGAAGAAGACAGGGCAATTTAAAATTTAAAACAGCCAAAATTACAATTGTAAAGCTCACTGTGTTTTCTTACCATTTTGTCCAAATGCTCTGCTCTCCTGATGCTGCTCATTGGCCTTTGACTGTGGAGCCTCAGTCTGTGATTTTAGACACAGTTTGTGTGATGACTTCCTTATGGGTGGCCTTCCCTAAATACAAAAGACACACAAAAATCAAATTACTGTTTGAATGAATATGTATATAATTCTATGCCAGAAAATCCCAATTGGAGCCATGCAAGAATTGAGGATTTTTTGGAGTTGGATGAACGTGAGCAGGACACACTGCAGAAGCGCTTGGACCTGGAGAAGGTGGTGCGTGTAGTGCCACTGGTTCCACACATTACACATTTAACTGCAGAGACATGAAATTGTGTGGGGTTTACATATACTTTTCCATGTGCTTGTGTTAGTTCATTAATATAAGGGTTCCTGAATCACCTATTCCATCATTATCTGCCCGAGAAGAAAGTGTCACAGGATTATTTACACCATCACTGGAATTCTGCTGATTGTGGTCTGCTCCATCAAATATTTGTTAATCATAAATCATAAATGTCTCTTCCTATTATTTACTCATTAATCAAAACAATGTGTTAAAAATAATATATGTATCTGACGTCATAAGTTGTGGTTTAGACTCGAATCCGTATGTTCGTTTGGCAGGTTGCTAGTTATTTTAATTTATAAAGTTTTAAATATGAATATTTTTCTTACACAAACTCATCGCTTTGCTTCAGAAGGCCTTTATTAACACCCCGGAGCCGTGTGGGGTCTGTTTATAATGGATGGATGCACTTGTTTGAGCTTCAAACTGATGATTGCAATTCACTGCCATTAAAAAGCTCGGAAGCATCAGGGTGTTTATTAATATAATTAATATAACTCCGATTGTATTCGTCTAAAAGAAGAAAGTCATATACACTACTAAGATGGATTGGGGGTGAGTAAATCATGGGGTAATCTTCATTTTTAAAGTGAACTACTCCTTTAATACCGTCTCTCGAGAAGATGCTTTTGTTTTGAAGAAGCCGTGGCTTTGGAGACACTCTGAAGGGAGGGTGGGATCTTATGCTTTCAAAGTATCCTTAATTAGCCATTGCTGTCTCAGAAAAACATCAAGAATTAAGTTTTTGGCAGAATATGGGAAGTTTGACTCCGCAAAGAAGTGTGGTTCAACAGAAATTGTGTGGAGTAATGAATCACAATGTAACAAGAGTTGCATGGTAATGCATCAGAGCAGCGTTTTTGAAGATCTGGTGAGAAATACAATAATGAATGCATCTCTACCACAGTGACACATGGAGGAAGATACTGTGGGGAGTCTTTTTAGCTGCTGGTATTGGGGAGCTTCTTCACTGTGAAAAGTAATGTAATGCTTTGGAGTACTTTCTGTGCCCGCATTACAGAAATATCCTAACTTTAGAATCATATCTTATCTGTTTGGTAACCATGGCAATTTCAGTTAGGACAAAAGCTATTACAGAACGACATTTCTTAAGTGCATAATCTTATCTAAACTATGGATAGGAAAAGGGTATTACAGAAGCATCTTAACTCCACAAAAAATCCTAAAAACAGTCTTAACTTTAGGACAACTCCAATGGTGTCCTAACTTCCGAAGTATTTGAAAGCCAACTATAAAAATCTCATTACAATAGCTCTGTCTGAGAATGGTGTCACGTTTATTAATGATACAAGATAAAGAACAGCAATATTTGATGGTGGAAAGACTTTGTGAACACCCAAATGATGTGCTGCTCCTATGAAATAAAAGGATTGGGCTTTGCCTTTTCTACCAAGCTTATCAACACTTAATTTAATGAAAAGTACCGTGGCAAGCAGGCCGAGGGCCGTGAGGCCGGTGGTATCTCACGGAGGAGCTTCGGAAGCATAAAAGGAAGAGCGACGAGAGAGGCCTGGACTATTTATGTAATGTTATTTTATTTTTTGTTTAGTTTATGTGTGTGCAGCAGTGAGGGGCTGTCGCCTTTACTTTAGTTTTTTTTTTTTTTTTAAATGTATGATTATTAAAGTTGTTAAAGACCCACTCCGATGAAAATAATGTTTTTCTAGGTGTTAACATGTTCTTGTGGCATTTTCTGATGTTAGAGGACATACCTTGAGAAAAATAAGCTCAAAGTTGTATTTCTGAGTATTTCTACATTCAAATGGCTGTGAATCAGTAGCACACGCTAAAATGCCGGCTAAAATAGACTGGAGTTGTGACGTAGTAACTCCACTGGGCGTCTCCACACGCGACGTCTTGGAGTGAAATAATGATCGGTGATCGGTGATAACTTTGATTAACTTCGGATAATAATAATTAACGTGTACGTATATAATACTGTTGCCCCACCGGTATTGGGGGTGTAAGCTAGCGGGAGAGACAGAGCTCTCTGCAACGGGCAGGGGGAGGGTCGTCTCCGTGCCAATGGCTCCGCCCACAACGCAGAGGCGAATTGCTAATGAGCTACTGCCGCTCTGCTGAAGCGAAGTCCCAGAAAACGGCACAAGTTTTGTGATTTTGGCTAAAAATGGCATAATCATAATTTAAAGACCACTGGGAATGTTTAAAAATAGCTCAAAATATGATCGGAGTGGGACTTTAAATGTTCGCTGGTTCCCGTCTCCTTCCCACAACAACATACCATCGTTACAACCACTTTGTTTCTTCATTTTAATCTCTAGACTAGAGTATTTCCGTTTTACTTCACACAGAAGCTGTTTGTGCATCATAGGTTGCTTGGTATAAGACCTGAGAGTTAATTACCGAACTCGATGGAGGGGTTTAAGTTTTGCCACTCAGTGGGTGTGACCGCACTCACTCCAGCTGACAGTAGGGTGACCAGAAGTCCCGAAAAATTCGGGACAGTCCCGAAATCTAAGCTGTTGTCCCGAATCCCGAAACCGGCCTTAATTGTCCCTAAAATTATACTAAAGCAAAATCTTGATATAGCTAAAGCATTAAAAACTGTCCGTGGAGGTTGAGTCGTTCTACAGCCAGCCCCCTCAAGTTGCAGCAGCCGCAGCAGCGAGGACAGTGCAGCCAGTCATAAAGGAGGGATTGATTGGTCGCGGCACTGTGTGCAAAAAAATACTTCGGCCGGGCCTAATGTCGGGTTACACAAAGCAAATCATCTACACAATTATTTAGTTTTCCTATTTAATGACCGACAATTTAGTTGTAATAATAATTTTGGCATAAGGCCTGAAAGGTCTGATTTAGCACTGTTACAACAGTAAAAAAAAAAAATTCACAATGATATTTGAGTTCATGATTTTAATGGGGTTTTTTTGTGGCAGACTAAAGACTAATGACAGACTCTTGATCTTTGAATAAACAAATATGTTTGGTTCAGGTTTGAAATTCATTATCTTTTAAGGCTATGTAGTCTTATGTAGTAATAATAATAATAATTAATAATAATTCATTACATTTATATAGCGCTTTTCTAGGCACTCAAAGCGCTTCACATGGAAGGGGGAATCTCCTCAACCACCACCAATGTGCAGCATCCACTTGGATGATGCGACGGCAGCCATAGTGCGCCAGAACGCTCACCACACACCAGCTTACTGGTGGAGAGGAGACAGAGTGATAAAGCCAATCAGTGTATATATATATATATATATGGGGATGATTAGGAGGCCATGATGGACAGAGGCCACTGGGCAAATTTGGCCAGGATGCCGGGGTTACACCCCTACTCTTTCGAAAGACATCCTGGGATTTTTAATGACCACAGAGAGTCAGGACCTCGGTTTAACGTCTCATCCGAAGGACGGTGCTCTTTGACAGTATAGTGTCCCCGTCACTATACTGGGGCGTTAGGACCCACACAGACCACAGGGTGAGCGCCCCCTGCTGGCCTCACTAACACCTCTTCCAGCAGCAACCTGGTTTTCTCAGAAGGTCTCCCATCCAGGTACTAACCAGGCTCAGCCCTGCTTAGCTTCAGTGGGCAACCAGTCTTGGGCTACAGGGTGATATGGCTTCTAATAGGACTACCCGTACTATTAGTTTCCCGTGAAATTAAGAATACAACAGATGGATCCTTCGCAGCCTTGCCTACCCCAGAATTCATTGCGAGCCAGTAATGACAGGATTTTTTTTTGGAGAGAGAAATTGCCAAATTACACTTTTAAACAAATAATGGGTTTACAATTACTCAAATGTGTAATGATACAAATGTAAAAATAAAAACCTTTAAAGCAGTTCGACTTATATCTTACTAAGATGCGATTATTTATAGTTTATACACCTTATTATATACAGAAATGGACCATGGTGAACATAATTAGTTTGTGAACCCTGTTTTGTTTTCACACAGTTTAATATAACTTAAAAAGTCCAGTACAAACAAACGTTAATGCCACTCATCAACGGCGCATTTAACAATGCTCAGTCTGACCTTCAAGGCCTTCAAAGGATGCAGCCTTTGAATTGGAAAACAGTCGTTCTTCTTCCTGTAAAAAGCTGTCTGCAAGTTTATCCACACAGCTTAAAGGGTTAGTTCACCCAAAAATGAAAATTATGTCATTAATGACTCACCCTCATGTCGTCCCAAGCCCGTAAGACCTCCGTTCATCTTCGGAACACAGTTTAAGATATTTTAGATTTAGTCCGAGAGCTTTCTGTCCCTCCTTTAAAAATGTATGTACGGTATACTGTCCTTGTCCAGAAAGAAAATACAGACATCAAAGTAGCCCATGTGACATCAGTGGGTTAGTTAGAATGTTTTGAAGCATCGAAACAGCATTTTGGTCCAAAAATAACAAAAACTACGACTTTATTCAGCATTGTATTGTCTTCCGGTTCTGTTGTCAAGCCGCGTTCACGAGTCCGCAGTGACGTAAGACGCTGCTGACGTGTAATCCGGTGCGCCCGAGCTTCGTTTACAGTCTGAGGGAGACGCACGCTGTAAACAAAACAATCTTTGCAAACATCTCTAAGGATTTCGACACAGAGGAAGACTTGCATTTTTTTGCCCAGCCATATTTATTTGAACCCGAATACACGGACACACCGGATTACACGTCAGCAGCGTCTTACGTCACTGCGGACTCGTGAGCGCGGCTTGACAACAGAACCGGAAGACAATACAATGCTGAATAAAGTCGTAGTTTTTGTTATTTTTGGACCAAAATGTATTTTCGCTGCTTCAAAACATTTTAACTAACCCACTAATGTCACATGGACTACTTTGATGATGTCTGTTCCTTTCTGAACAAGGACAGTATACCATACATACATTTTCAAAGGAGGGACAGAAAGCTCTCGGACTAAATCTAAAATATCTTAAACTGTGTTCCGAAGATGAACGGAGGTCTTACGACTTGGGACGACATGAGGGTGAGTCATTAATGACATAATTTTAATTTTTGGGTGAACTAACCCTTTAAACATGAAAAAGAAAAAGGTAAAGGATATACGGTGGCCGAGAGAGCTCAATGCGCTGCAACTTAAGAAACACATACAAATAGAAAAAACACCCGCAAATTAAGAAAACATCATCAGTTTCACAACCCACGTGCTCCAAATACTTACAACACAACCAAATACATAAACGCGCTGCAAATTTCACAACACAACCAAATACAGTAACGCGCTGCAAATAGCACAGACCCACTACATCTTACTATGCAATTTCTTTAATAATTCCTTCGAGTTACTTTCTTTCTCTCTACAAACTTTTATTATGGTGGGTTGTAAATTAAAGACATTTGAGCTTCTGTGTGTTTTAATAAACTATTATTATTATTAGGCCTACTTGAAGTATACTCTACTGTGCAATAGTATTATATTTCTGTTATATTTTCTTCGTTATACAAAACTTTTATTTTGACAGGTTGTCATGAAGACTTTAAAGTTTGTGAGTGTATATGATACGAATGAATGACGATAGTTTTATCAAATGAAATGGTAAAATTCTTGTGAAGTGACTCTCATAAAAGGTCTGCGATGAAGTTCAAATGTGTGCATGTCCTTCTCATAAACGCTGAAAACACCATGAGTGTCACGCGCGCTTCAGTGTGTAGCTAGTAGAGCACACATTGAGCGCTCATTCACAGAAACACGCAGAACATGCAGAGTTTATTTCTATAGCAGTCTTTTTGAGCTTTACACACTAGTACACTAGTTTACACACTAGTACATATCGTTGTACATCCCTACTTTTGATTTATTCTTTAAAAAATGGCCAAATTGCGTGACGTTCCGCTTTACAGTAGGCTAAGTTACATTTGTGACTGGATTCCGCGATTCGATCCGCTGCGCAAACACAGACGGCGGGGTGAATTTATGAATGAAAGTTCTGTCACAAAACGATGTTGTTACGAATACTCGCGCTTTTTTAAGTGGGTATACGGAGATCCTTGGCCTTTCCTAGTGGGTATACGGAAATCCTTGACATTTTCTAGTGGGTATACGGCATATACCTGCGTATCACGTAGACAGACCACAAGAATTTTTTTTCCAGGGGACCCCAATAAGTGACGAACCCGGCTGGGACGTGCTTACAGCTCAAAGTCTAAGAAGCAGAAGCACTGAACGCAACAGAGAAAATAAATAATAATAAAAAAAACTGAACGCAACAGAGACCTCCCCCACCTCGTTACAAACGAACGGCTTAACAATACGATTGCGTTCTAACTTAGTAGATCATTGACCAAACAAATTCACACTACCTCATCCAAATTATCCGTAACAGGTCTTTCGGCTCTCGGTACAGCACTTTTCTTGAGGTGATTTCTTCTGGGTGGGTCAGAGGCACTTCTGGATAAGATGAAGTCGTCCTTGTCGAAATGGTTACTGCAGACGCGGTAGTCCATCTCTCGAAGCGTTTCTACCGGTGTTTCGACATCAACGTGTAATATGACCAGCCACTGCTTCAAAATATCACTATTCTGCAGAGGAAGTCTGTGAAAACTTTCCGGATTGTAGCGTTTCATTTTCTTATTGCAGCCGGGAAAAGCACAAACACGAACCATTTTCTTCTCTTCAGTAACTTACACGCACTGTTCGATCACCTGTCCTTATCAAAACTTCTGGTTCGTTCACATCTCACGTGTACAACGCCTTTTCCGGCAACAACGTTTCACGCGATAAACTCCTCACAGAGAGAAAATGCTTGAGCTATGATTTTGGTAAAAATATTGAAAGTATTGGGCCCCTTCTTCCCTTGTAGTTTGTCATCCATACATTTTAATAAACAGATATAATTCATGCATTTCCATGTCATTAGATTTCACAAACGTAATTCCTATCGACCAGCTCACTTAGCACGGCGTTCGAGGTTCGATTGCTCCAGCCTGTATCCTTGACGTGTAACGTTACTGTCTTTATAAAGTATATTCTTATTAAACTGTCTGTACAATTACAAAGTTCTCAATGCTTCGGTTTGCATGTACCCTCATTATGCTACCGTGTTAGTGTGGGGCTATTTTGAGCCTTGTTAATGGAATTAACTAGTGATTTCTTTTTACTTACTCTATGCCCTATATACTAGCGTTATAAGCTAATCAGTGGTTCGAGCTAAAACTGGGTACATTCGATTAGCATGAAAACACATTCGGTGGGGTTCAGGGTCCCCTGGAAACATTTCCATTGTGGTCTGTGCTATTTGCAGCGCGTTTCTGTATTTGGTTGTATTGTGAGTATTTGGAGCACCCATGTGTTGTGAAACTGAGGAAGATGTTTTCTTAATTTGAGGGTGTTTTTTTTTATTCATCTCTCCAAGCGTCAGGCTTTTTCAAAGAGTCTACAAACGAAACGGAGGTATCAGATACTCACTGATGCAAACTGTTGAGGTTCAGCGGTCACTCTGGGTTTTCTTCTCGTATAGATTTTGTAGTTAGCAAATGTTAAAAAATAAAATAAATTAAAACAATACTTACGGTGCACAGTTCACGTTTTCGTCGAAGTGCTCCTCTGATGGATCCGTGACCATCATGTCTCCCGCCGGCGGCCGAACCACATGCTGACGACGGACCAGATGAAGGTGCTGCGTGCACAGAAGGAACCGCACCAGCTCGGAGTCTCACTTGGTTCTTGCTTCGGCATCCCATATTGAACTCCATCATATCGCTGGGATCATAATCATCCTGTCTAAAGTGACCTCTACACACTACCGCGTTTTTCGAAGCAGATGCAGAAGTGAAGTCCCGTCTCTTCACCTGCACAAAACGCACCCAGGCACGGAAGATAGCACAGTTCTTTTTCTTGTTTGGAAACCTGTGGACTCGATGTCCTGTCAGGTTGGAGTTTGTGCAACCTCCACAAACACAATAATTTACCATGGCGATGATAAATTAAAATATACAATAACTACCGAAAACACACTGAATCACGACCGTTCTGAATACCAACCTACTCAGCACTGTGCACTGAGCAAACGCAGAGCCTGGCAGGAAACGACTACCTCTCGTGACGTAATATGACGCGTGCCAAACGGTTTGTCATTGGTGAAAGGAGTGTCTTTCTGGCAACTGTGTTGACCAATCAGCGGTAACCATACATTTACGCAATTTCCTTTAGACCAGAGCCGTGGAGAGAGAGAGAGAGAGAGAGTTGGAGTTGCATACACATTATTATTATTATAGAGTTGCATACACATTATTTTAAAAGTTTATGATGAAATCACTTAGTTTTTCTACGTGGAATATTCAAGGTCTAAACTCCTCAGTTTTTGGCTTAAAAAGTAGAAATTCTGATTTTATGAAAGAACTTCAAGACCTAGATGTCATCGTCTTACAGGAAACCTGGTGTAGAGGAGATACGTTCACTGGCTGTCCCTCAGGATACAGAGAAATAATATTACCATCAGTAAAGCTCACATCAGTCACACAAGGGAGAGACTCGGGAGGGATGATCATATGGATCAAATCTGAACTAGCCATAGAATTAATAAAAAGAGAACAGCACCACCTGTGGCTAAAAATACAAAAAGGAATGATATCAGCATCTAAGCCGGTTTTCCTTTGTGCAATTTACATTCCTCCCCTCGAGTCTCCGTATTTCCAAGAGGAAACTTTCCAAAAGTTAGAAAGAGAAATCAGCAATTTCCAGGCCCAGGGAAATGTGCTGCTTATGGGTGATTTAAACGCCAGAACAGGAGAAGAACTAGATTTCATTGAATCGCACGGTACCAGATTCATCACTGGCAATAACGACCTGTACCCTTCTTACCCTAGCAGGCAAAACTGTGATGAAACCGTGAACGCTCACGGACGGCAGCTCCTGCAGCTCTGCCGAGGACTGGCTCTGTACATCGTCAACGGAAGACTGCGAGGAGACTCGCTCGGCCGATACACCTACAGCTCAGCTCTTGGTAACAGCACTGTAGACTATGCCATCACAGATCTAGACCTGTCCTCTTTGAGAGCATTCACAGTCAAACCCTTAAAACCTTTCTCAGACCACAGCCAAATCATCCTCTATATAAAGCAATCTGAAACATCACCCAAACCAATTAGGACTCCATATCAAATGAGCAAATTCATGTCTTTCAAATGGACTGAAAACAGTGGCACTAATTACAGCACTGCCATTGAATCTCCAGAAATACAATCCCTCATACATTCATACCAAATACAGGAATACCCTAAAAACCAATTCGGCATCAATCAGGAAGTACAAGATCTAAACAACATATTCTACAAAACAGCACAAAAAAGCAATTTGTCAATTGTCAAACCAAAGAAAAAATATTTAGATACAGACAAATGGTTTGATTTGGACTGTAAGGCTCTGAGAAAAAACCTAAGAAATTTATCAAACCAAAAACACAGACAACCAGATAATTCGGACCTCCGCCTTCTTTACTGTGAGGCATTAAAACAATATAAAGCCACACTCCGGCGGAAAAAAGCACAGTTTCTGCAAAGCCAGTTTGAAGAAATTGAAAAATCTATAAACTCACACAAATTTTGGGATAAATGGAAATTGTTATACAAACCAAATCGAGAAGCTCTGGCAATCCAAGACGGGGAGAAGTGGAAAAACCACTTCCAAGAACTATACAGCCCAACTGAAATTCAAAATTATAAACAAAATGAAATAATTAATAAACTAGACAATTTGGAAAGATCAATTAAAGAAAATCAAAACCCTTTAGATTTCCCCATAACAATGAAAGAATTGGAAGAAAAATTAGGAGTCCTTGAGGCCAAGAAAGCCTGTGGTGTCGACAGCATCCTGAACGAGATGCTGAAACACACAGACCGAAGCTTCAGACTGGCCATGCTGAAACTGTTCAATGATGTTCTGTGTGTAGGGTTCTTCCCTGAGATCTGGAACAAGGGCCTCATCAGCCCCATCCACAAGAACGGAGACAAATTAGACCCCAACAACTACCGAGGCATCTGTGTGAACAGTAACCTGGGGAAGGTCCTCTGCAGCGTCTTAAACTCCAGACTTCTAGACTTCCTTATGAAGCACAATGCCTTGAGTAAATGCCAAATTGGCTTTCTTCCAAAATGTCGCACATCCGACCACATTTTTACATTACAAACACTAATTGACAAATATGTACATCAAAACAAAGAACAAATTTTTGCTTGCTTCATTGATTTCAAGAAAGCATTTGATTCAATCTGGCATGAAGGACTATACCTAAAACTCATCGACAGTGGAATAGGGGGGAAATTCTATGATTTGATCAAATCGATGTACACAGCCAGCCAATGCGCTGTTAAAATTGGAAACCAAAGAACCGAGTTTTTCCCCCAGGGGCGTGGAGTGAGACAGGGCTGCAGTTTAAGCCCCACCCTCTTCAATATTTACATCAACCAATTAGCCGATACGCTAGAACATGCTCCCTTTCAAGGTCTCACTCTACACGACACCGAGATCAAGTGTCTTCTCTACGCAGACGACCTGGTCCTCCTGTCGCCCACTAAAGAGGGGCTTCAGGACAGCCTGGATCTGCTGGAGGATTACTGTCAGTCCTGGGCCCTGACCGTCAACCTCCAGAAAACTAGAGTCATGATGTTCCAGAAACGCTCCAGATCTCAGGGACCAACACACACATTCACACTATCACACAGAACCATTGAGAGCACAAAAACATACACTTACCTCGGCCTGAAAATAACTCCAACTGGCAACTTTACTTTGGCTGTGAATGAACTCAAAGAGAAAGCTCAAAGGGCTTTCTATGCCATAAAAAGATCCATCAAAATTGACATCCCAATCCAAATTTGGCTCAAACTTTTCAAATCAATAATTGAACCAATTGTTTTATATGGCAGTGAAGTTTGGGGTCCTTCTATCAAATTTGATTTTTTAAATTGGGAAAAACATCCAATTGAAACTCTACATTTAGATTTCTGTAAACGAATCCTCAAAGTCCAAAGGAAAACACCAAACAACGGATGCAGGGCAGAATTAGGCCAATACCCTCTCCTTCTAAACATCCAAAAAAGAGCCATCAAATTCTGGAAACACCTAAAAACAAGCGACCCCAACACATACCATTACAAAGCCCTACAACACCAAGAGCTGAGCGTAGCGAGGAGTCCCCTGTGCCAGCGGGTGCTGAGACTGACTGGGCTCTCTCCTGCAGAGATCAGCTCGCCTCAGCACACACACACACTCACACACATTCGGCCCGCACAAATTATCACCACAGAACAAGACAAGTACATCACCCATTGGACAAACACCATTAAAAACCAACACAAACTGGAATGTTATTCGGCACTAAATCGAGAGTACACTGTTGCGAACTACCTGAGCACAGTGAGTGATGTGAGACTCAGGAGAACCCTGACGATGTACAGACTCAGCGAGCACAGCCTGGCCATAGAGACGGGCCGGCGCAGACAGACCTGGCTCTCCCGTGAGGACAGACTCTGCCCGCACTGCACCCTGGGAGTGACGGAGACCGAGCTGCACTTCCTCACAGAATGCAAAAAATATGAACATATCAGAGACCACTATTACCCCAAAATTAATCAAATATTTCCTCAATTTAACACCTGTAACCCAACCCAAAAACTCCGTTTCATTCTTGGCGAAGAAGCCAAATGCTCAAATATAGCTGCAAAATTTGTAGCATCCTGCCATATCCTGAGGGACGACCAGAGACCAGCAAACATCCAATAAACACACACTCACAGCCTAAGACCTACACAGTACACACACACACTCACAGCCTAAGACCTACACACATGTATATGTTCAATTCCAAGTTCAGTGTTCGTTTGTTTTTTGCTTGTTTTTGTTTTGTACAGAGATGTTTTCTAAATCCTTTATATTTTATTTATTAATCTTTGTTTATTTTATTATTATGGTTTTATGTTATCAGTATTATTATTTTGTGTACTAAATGTTCTAAATCATTTTCTATGTTGTTTTGATGCTTTGGCAATACAAAATGTATTTTTTTGTCATGCCAATAAAGCTTTCTGAATTGAATTGAATTGAATTGAGAGAGAGAGAGAGAGAGAGAGAGAGAGAGAGAGAGAGAGAGAGAGAGAGAGAGAGAGAGAGAGAGAGAGAGAGAGAGAGAGAGAGAGAGAGAGAGAGAGAGAGAGAGAGAGAGAGAGAGAGAGAGAGAGAGAGAGAGAGAGAGAGAGAGAGAGAGAGAGAGAGAGAGAGAGAGAGAGACAACTCCATTCACTGTGATTCACTCCAATGGAAGGTTGTTGTTTTTTTACAGCAACGGCGGCTTGTGGAGCCTCTCAATAGTTCCCGGAAGTAGCAGCAGCGCATTAGAGATACAGAAGTTTGTGATGCACTTTTAAAAGGTAAGACGTTTAAACAATAAGATTGTATATTATCAGTACATCTGAATCAAATTAAATTGTGTATTAAAGCATGCGAGTTGATTATTGCTCTCTTAAATGAGTAGTTTTATGGGATGTTATCAGATAGATTAGACTAAGATAGGTTAGGCTATTGGGTAAAGTTAGTCACACATAACAAACCACGAACAGCCTATTAATTGTAAAACCCGTTCTATAAATGCAGTTCTAGCCATCGTTGTGTAATTAGAGGGAAAAGCTTCAAACGGGGGTTAAATATAACTTTGGGGCGTGTGATAGAAGTGGTAAAATGAGAATATTCGTTTTTCATTCCTAAGGCTTAGTATTATGTGCAATAACGAAAAAAAATAATGCATATTTTAGTAAGCTAAACCATATGGGTGGAGTTTTTTTTAGCCATTGTGGTTCTGTTGACTATTAGCTTACAGTCTATATTATGTTTCAGCTCAGCTGATTTATGGATTGATGGGAGAGGGAAGTTTATAAGTGAGATAAAAATAAAAAAAAAAGCTTAAAAGCAGCAAGCCATTTAAAATAAAAAATCATACTAGGCTAAATGGGGAATCGTACTAAATACCAAAACTGTATTATATGCTATAATAT